ATGTATGTATGTATGTATGCACGCGCGTGCATGTAGGTACACAGATGAACGATTGTGTGCGTGTGTCGATTCGTTTGCTTGGACCTCTAGGTGGGTAGTTCAATGCAATTTCGCTGCTTCCGAACAAAAAGGTTCTCATGTATGTATACGCTTGTGCCGAAGCCCGAGGTTGAGCAAATTCACTTGAAGTTTTTCAGAAGAGGGAGTCGGGTGGGAGAGTTCTCCCTCGGTGTGCTTCTGTGACTTGTAACTCCAAGTGTCTCTTCACACCATCCGCAGGCAGGATTCGTGCGAATCCGCAACGAGCGCGGCTTTCGGATCGATCGAGACATCAAGGCAAAGCGCACAGCTTCAGACTAGTCGTGCAGCATGGCCGACGTTGGCAGCCCGTTCTTCTTGACATATGTTAAGAAATTTCGACCTGCTCTGAAGGTGGATAGCTTGGCGAGCTTGTACATTGCTCGGGCTTGTGCTACGGCCCCAAACGCGTCTTGCTCCTGTGTCCTTGCGACCCAGACTTCACGGGCTTGATTGTCGCTGTGTTGTGAGGCAATGAGCCTCGAGATTGACTTGGCCGAGTACCTCTGTTAGTGAGTACAGGCTCTTCTGTTTCAGTCTGTTTTATTCAGATTTTTTTCTTAGGATGTGCTTCAAACTGAAGCACGACTCAGGGGCTTAGGATGTGCTTCGAACTGAGGCACAGCTCGGGGCTCAGTTCATGATTTTGAACTGTCAGGGGAGCATGGATCTCATGCAGAACCCAATTAACAAGAGTGGGGCGATTGCCAAAAGCGAGAGATGGGGACAAAATCATGCGCATGCTGCAGGGTCGGTGTTCGGTGTTCTGCCTTGGTTTCAGCAAAGTCAGCAATACCATGTTGCCCTGTCGTGCTATATCCGAACATACCCAGCTCGTGTCGGTGATGCGGCTTCAATAAATATCGCAGTCCGATCGGTTGTATGCCTTCTGGCATGTCCTTCACTGTCCGTCAAGCAACATTAGTTCTGACATACTGGGTTCAACTGTTCTTATGGTATGGGTTGTTGTTCCCAGTGGTTTGGAGGTGCCGGTGTGTACGGATTAGGCACATGGACACATGGTACTTACAGTCATAACCCCTGATAAAAGCTGCTCGGGTAGACTATAGTATGGTTCGAATGAGGAACCTTCCTTACTACGTGTTCAGACTTCTGAACTACTTAACTTGGTGAAATATAGGCCTTAATAATTACCTGGACGATTTTTTGGGGGGGTTTCTAATTATAGTTATAGCATAAGATTCCCCCAAACCCTATTCTAATCATTCAGGCCCCTATATTGGGGGGTTCCTTATTCTAGTTATAGTTATAGTCTAGTTATAGTATAGTATTCCCCCCAACCCCTCTTCTAATTATTCAGGCCCCTATATTAGTTGGGCAGCCCCAGTCTGACTTGGAGTTTAGGGTTCGGGGTGTAGGGCTTTGGGTTTCAGGGGCCAAAACACTGCGAGCCTGTGCTAAACTGGCTGCGCTTGAGGGAGGACTGGAAGGAGATTGCAGATGACGGTAAACCTGAGCACGCAAGGTCCGGAGAACAAGACCTGGGTTCGGTACAGTCCAGCTGTTGGATCCATGTTTCAGCAACCGATAAGATGGTAGCTCACAGGTGGTAGCAGGGAGCTGTAGGAAGAAGACTGGTGGCTCAGGCAGACGATCCAGTCTCAACGTTCTTTGGCTTGGCTTGGGTTGTCGTAGGCAGAGCCCCGCACTCTGCTGCGCATCTCGCCAACAGCATTGGTACCATTCCGGCAAGTGCTATCATGAACAACTCGCGTTTGGTACCGCAAAAGTTGATGAGAAGTAGTGTTGCAGAGAACCACCACCCCCACCCACCACCACCACTACCGCCACCATGGCCACTACAGTAGAACCTCTCACGACTGCTACTCATGCTGATGCTGCTGCACATCGTACCGCTACTTTCATCACGCTCTTAGCACCATGATTGCTAGTGTTCTGTTCGTGCACAATTGACACGACAATGCAGCACTCGAAGTCTGTCAGCAGACCAAGGCCTGACCTTCCGGATCCCACGGTGGTCTGGGCAGGGTCCCCAGGATTTCGTTGCCAAAGTGCGTTCACTCCTGGAACCTTCTCCAAAGCCCGGTCTGACGATGTTGCCAGGTACGGTAGGATCCTCCTTACAAGGTCACTGCATGCAAGGTTTTCAGCGTGTCTCGAAACAGTAGCATCGCAAAACAGACACGGTCATTCTTGTAGTGGCTATCCTTTACACCCTAAACCCTAAACCCTTATAACTTATAACGGGCCTTATATGACTGTGGCCGCTGCCAACATCGTCTCGGATGCCTTCGGATTCTGCCATCATCTCGAGGTTGACAAAGAGTACATCCCTCCCGTGTTGGCACGCCCAGATGAGGAGTCGTCCGGAACTTATCAAGAAGGCGTTTGCATTATCCCATATCATATTCTGTTATGAAATATATATATATATATATATGTTTAGATAGATATAGATACGTATGGTATATGTATATGTATATGTATATAGGATTGGTTCGGCATCCTGAGATCCAAGAGCTGGATTTGGGGATACAAGATTTGTTTAAGCCACACTTGGTAATCTATCCTGAAGGCATAAAGCAAGATTGCATGCTGCCGGGTTAGCCGTTTAGACTCTTGGAACTTCGTGGCGGGACTTTCCCAGATGGGCTTTGCCAGTAAAGAAATTCGTGCTGTCTACACAGTCCGCACAAACAGGCATGGCTCTGGAACTATGCATGATCGTGCAGGTGGGGCCCTATCGCGAGTCAATCGAAGCTGGATTGATCACTCAGGTGCTTTGGGTGCCAGTGTATGACGGCCTTTCCCGGCCTGTGGCTCGCCAATGGCACGTTCTCTGCAGAGTGCCGCTTCGAACCTGGCTTGTGTATTCTATTAAAATAAACAGATAAATAAATAGATATGTATATATATAATATGTATACATACACAACAGGAGTGTTGGGTTGATGATGGAAGACCCCTCCCCCCCCCCATCCCCACCAGCACCAACGCGGCGCGCGCCACTCACTCCAAGCAACACGTTCGCAAACCTCGCTTTGCTGCAAATTTTGCACATAAACACACTAATACGTAGGACTTTCTCCATGTGTCGGCTTGTGTGGTTTAGACCAAGACCTCGTTTGACTGAGAAAGCTTTTGAAAAAACACCGGTATTTACGGAGTTTCTGCTTGTGGGAAACATGATAATGTTATTTGGTCCGTTTATAAATCAGTCATAGGGTTAAGGCTTTCTCAAAAGGGTACTTCCTGGTAGTTGGATACCCATACGATAAAATACAAAATCATGCAGAAACATATACAAACCCTCGAAATCATACGATAAAGTTCGTTTTAATTCAACTTCTTCTTTTTCGGCTAGCGTCCAGGTGTAAAAGGGTATGGGCAGTGCAGGGCCCCTTAAGCCATGCACAAGTTCTGCCATCGTACCATACACGAAATTCGAAAAATACATAATCATTCAGAAACATTCAGAAAAATAGACAAAAGATCAAAAAATCAAAAAAACAAAAACACTGGTGTGGCAGCATGTAAGACAACGTGAAATGCTAGCAAGCATCATCAATTTGGAAGAAAGTACAACATCATACCGCAGCCTGCAAAGCACCCATCGACACGGGAACGCCGATAATAATATAAATATAAATGCCTCATACTTAATTGGTATCGTGAACAGAACTGAAATTTCCAACATTTTTCATTAAATTTCCCCAAAAGTGCGCAGCCGTAAGCCCGATCCTGAAAGCAGACATAAAGTTCTTCAGATCGCAGGTACACCTGCGAAGCGGGCAGCCTGGGCCAATTAATCCCGGAGTTCCACTGGGGCGGACCCAAGGACGGTGCACTTGGGCTTGAGGTTCTCGTCGACTGCCCAAATCGCAGACTTCGATTGCGTTTGTGTTTGTGCAGAGGTTCGACGGTGGGTTCCAAACCCTGAACCTCAACCAGTGAAGGTTTCCGAGAAGGTGGAGAGGAAGTCGGGGGTTCAGACTAGGGCTTAGGATTAAACATGTAAGAAGCCCTGACAGCTCAACCCTACAAGCCCTAAGCGCTGAACTGCAAGGCCCGGAAACCCGGAAGGCCTATGCCGGAACCCTGGACCCCTAAAGCCGGAACCCCAAGCTTGACTTAGACTTAAACTGTCCTTGAAACCTAACACCACATAAACCTGGTAGATCTTGGTTAGCCATCTTAGCCCATAGTAAGCCAAAATACTTCATATTTCCAGGTCAGCTCTTTTTCGCCTTTTGGGGCTGGGTTGGGACGGGTCAGTCCGGCCCAAAAACCCTGCGGAACGAACTCGGGGTTTCACTACATACTTTAGTTACTATAGCTTTCGGATATGCTTTAGGTATCATCACGGTCTAGGGTTTAGGTTTGGGATGTGGTTTCGGGTTCATTCGGTTTTAGGGTTTGGGATGTGGTTCAGGGTTCGTTAGACCGTGTTCTTCTTGCTCGGGCTTCCCAAACAGCCGGCTTTGCTAGTCCCGGCATAGATTCGTCTGCAACCTCGGCCTGCATACAGGACCTATGAGCATAGTATAGGGGCCTCAAGAATGGTTCGAATAGGTCTTGGGGTATATTCTACTATTATTATAATCGAGAGCCCCAACACGGTATTGGTAAATGTTTAGGCTCCTACCTTGGGGGCCTGTAGCCTCGCAACACATCATGCCCTCAGCTCAGCATGCCTCCGCCCCTGCAGCTCTGATAAGGCTCCAGGTCAAGTGTTCCATGCAAGCGCACGCTAGGTCTCACATTGGCAAGACTCGAATGCTACAGGAGGGCATGTGGTGAGACTTGTCGCACTCACTGAAAGCATTGATGACGAAAGACAACGCCGATATGGCGAGCCTGCCTCAAGCCTGCAGACATTTACCAATTCCCACATTGTCGCAAGCAGCGTGTAAATCGAAGGTGCCAGCAAGATCTCCAGGTAGCACCGTCATCACAGTCTTGGAAGATCAGTGTGCGAATGGTACCGGCAGTAGCAACAGCAATCAACAACATCCACATGGCAAGGACAGCAGCTGCGAAATCTCTGGCGATTTTATGACGAAAGCAAGTGTATTGGCATCCAACTCCCTAAACCTGGCCCCCAACCTTACATACTGCTAGTATACAGCTGGACAAATCAAGCCGAGGGCATAAACTATGCAGAGGCCCCTAAAGTCTGCAAGACTTTTGAGACGGCTTAGGGTTTGGGGTTTTAGGGTTTAGGGTTTTGGCATGGCCCATATGACTGCGCATGACCTGTGAGTGGGGCGGCCACACTGGTGAGGAGGAGCCGCCTGGACTTGAAGTTGGGGTAATAGGCCTCGTTCTCAAGTTGGAGTTCTGGTCTCCTGGTACAGGGATCGACGGCCAAACTGTAGCTGATGTGTTCGGTGCGATGAGGCCATTTCGGAAGTTGTTCGGGTAAAAGTCGTCGTAGGATTGCGTTCTCGAGCCAGTTCTGTGGTTTGAGGTCATGGAGCTTTAAGTGTCGTTTATCGGGAGTTCAGGGTTTGGGCCAGGTTCCTCTGCGT